AAACCCATATTTGGGCCATATGGGCAACTCAGATCGCAACTGACAACCTCCTTATTGGGGCCGTGTTCGTCCAGTGTACGTATTGTTTGGCGTATGTGAGTGGATTGGCAGTATCGAGAAGCCATGGCCCCATGACTCAGTGGACCCATGCGGGCCGACCAGTTTGTTGACGTTTTAATATGGTGTTTGCCATTGTTTCTCAGTGAGCTTTGTTGGTTGTATTCAAATGCCAAGAGAGTACAAGGTGTATTGGCCGCTTCTGAAAGTTGGGGGATTTCATCATGGATTTGCTGCGTTGTAGTCATGGACCCTGAGGCCTGGAAGCTTCGCGGCTAGCCCAAAAAAAAGGTCTGTAACCGAAGTCAGAGGGCGGCCAACCGCTGTTCAGCTGCCTTTTAAAGTGCCTGGGGACTGAAGCAACAAGTCCCAACCCGACTGATTCATGATTGGGGCCGGCACAGGCACGCAGGGCAGCACAAGTTAAGTGATTGGGACATGAGTCTGAAAGACTCTGTGGCAGGCGTGGCAGGATGGGGAAGTTGGGGCAATAAGCATATTCCATCAGAGAGTTGTCCGTCCAGAAAGATCCAAGGTGACGCACACAGTCATCCGGGCTTCCACGAGCGTGCCCTTTGAAACTTGAGAGACAACCAAGGCCCGGCCTCCAAAGAAAATAGAATGGGGACGCGCGTCTGTCCTATGCAAGTTACTTGTAGGATGTAACCCAAGACGCGTCCCCCCCTTTGGGAGGTGACTCCAGAATCGGTTTGCGCTCCATGATCGGCAGGGGAGTCTGAGACTTCTCGCCAGGATAGCCTTCGGCTCAAGATTGTCTTCCTGCGCACGGACTTGGCGAGACACCCGGCGCCTGCAGTCCTTGCGGGACTTGGGACTGTGCCCATCATTTTCAGTTTGCCGAATAGGAGTATCATGACCCCCAATGGCCATACAATGGTTTGTATATTTGCAAGTTAAATAACCTCCATTGCGCTGTTTTGACAGCCAATTTGGGGGCTGTAGATGTTGATTTTATGTCCTATTGTCAGGAGTCTTCAATAGGTTGAACCCCGCCCTCCACATCTATTCCATGCGCCGTTGCTGTGGGGACCTTGATCTTGCATGGACCTGGTGTTCAAGCAGAATCCATACTGACCCTTGCCAAAAAAGTGACCGCTATTTGGCCAGTTAAAAAGGAGATGAGGGAACCCCAAACGAGCAAAAAGGAGCGCCCAAACCATCCGCTGTCCCATGAATGGGTAAATGCCCAAAAGCCATACAGACCCAATCGCCCCTGTAAGTTCCTCACAGCACTCGCCCAGTTGGACATTCTCTATGCCGACCTCGGCGGCGCTGAGATCCCTTTCGCCGCAAGGGGCCCAAAGAGACGACTCCCGGCCTTGCGTGCAGGGCAGATGATGCATGGACTAGTTGTCAATGTTCTGTTGCACAGGTCCAGGATGATATACTCGAGAGACATGTCCACACCATATTGCTCCGGTGTGATCAAACTAGATGTGAGGTGGTTCCATCGGTCCTTTTGGTTTCTGTGAGTCGCGCCACGATTTCACATTTTGCCACTTGGAGAGTAATATGCTGCACCGCACCCGAAAGACTCACAGCCAAACTTACTGGTGACCGAATGCGTGCCGCGTGCCCCACTGACAGTTTTAGTGGAAGTCGGTTATTGGTTTGGGAGGATACGAGAGGGCCGGCTCCAATGTGCTACCACTGAAAACCGGAGGACTTGATCAGGAACATGGGGCTTTAGGGTTTGTTTCTGTGATTCCAAGGGCATCCTTGCGGCTGGCGCATTTTGGTATCACGGAAAATGTTATTTGCCACAACCATGCGCAGATCTGATAAAAACCGCGGCCACATCCACTCAAATGCATCAAGACCACGTCAAAGTCAAAAGTACTGCCTTTCTTTCTGTGCGAGACTGCTTGCTTAAACAGACGAGACTGATTTGGGTATGTGCCAAAACAGGGGACCCCACATAGAAGGAGCCACAAACAATGTTTTGTTTCATATTTATGTACATGTAGTCAATTATCACGATGACATTTATGGCCCAGAGGTACATGAGGTAGGTTCTCATGTAGTCAGTTGCATGTTGTACATTCAAGTCAATGCCTGAGCATGACCCAATCATTGCTTTGGCTCAAGTGCTGAAAAGAGCGCGTTGCTCGCGCTTCCCACAAGGTTAAGGGAGAGGTCGCAGTCACGGAGGGGTTCGTTCCTTTTAAGGTCCCGGGTTCCCCCGTTGTTGACAAAACTGTGTTTCCCTCTCCTTTGAGTGGTTATCAGCCGTAACGCTTTTCGGGTAAACAAACCCCTCCGTGACTGCGACCGTTTGGTCGCACATGGAAGCCGGCCCTCACCGCGGCACTCGCGGTGGGAAAGGGCCGCGTGCCCGTCTTTTCAATACTCTGCAGCAGATCGTCGTCGACGAGTACAAGCGACAGAACAGACGATTCCGGTGGATCAGGTTTGCAGACGCCTCGAAGCAACAGGTCGAGGCGCTCTTTTCCTGGCGTGAGTCATTGGATAGTTGGCACCTGTGGGATTTTGACCAAGAGGCCTTCGAAGTGATCCAGGCCGCGGACAACGCTTATCAGCAGCGTCTCGCATCGGTTGAAACCACAGGTGTGGTCTTGCCGCAAGGTGTGCAATCTCAGGATCAAGCCGCAGCCTCAGGCGCGGCAGAGGCAGCAGGCAGTGCAGCGGACTGGCTACGCCCTCCGACGCCTCCTTCAGCTTCATCCTGGCTACAAGATTCGCGCACTCCTTTGCCTCGCATTCGACCATCAGCAGAGGAACGACAAGTGTTGCGGGGCGCCGCCAAGACAGCGCTTCGCGGGGTGTACGCTAAAGCTGCGGAAACGCGGCGAGAGAGCAGCAGGGAACGGTCAACACAAAGATCGAGGTCCCCATCGTCCCGAAGGCTGAGGTCTCCATCATCATCTCCGAGACGAGGACCAACTGCTGCTACCCCTGTGGAACAACGGGCACACAGTGTTGAACCCGCGCTTGCGCGGGAGGGCAGGCCATCCAGGACTTCCCTTGCCACACGGCCCATCGTTTTGGCTCCACAGAACAGCATATACCCTGTGACACGATTCGACGAGCACGGCACCTGGGTACTCGTTCGGGAGGCTTCACAGCCACGTGAGGCGACATCTCACCGCAGAGCAAAGCGAACATCCGGACAACTCCGTCAGGCTGATCCGTACTCGCTCGCGGACGAGACGTGGAGAGATCCCCCAAGAAGATCATTCACGAGCTCGCGATCACGATCTCCAGATCGACGCCCAGCGCCAGCGGAGCACTTCCGCCTCGACGCCTACAGCTCGGAAGAGGAACCTCCGCAAGACGCGGAATCCATCAGAACTGGCAGGGCAGCTTACGTGCCTCGGCGCGTATACGAGGCACCGACTCACACTGAGCCTATTGCTTTGCATAGCCGGAGAATTGGAGCAATTCAACCGCCGCCACCAAAGGCCGCACCAAAGGTCATTTTTGGCAGCAAGCCTCCATTGCCCAAGGAAATCCCCCGGGCAGCTTCTTCGGTACCGGCAAAAGCAGATATTCCGAGGAAATCACCGCCACGAGCAAGGTCTCCTATTCGGACTCAGAGTGCATTCGGGTACAAGGCGCCTCCGCGAGGTTTGAACAAGGCCGAACCCAGAAGCAAATCGAGCTCAAACCCACCACCAGGGTACATCGTCAAGCCGCCACCGCCGCAGGTCGTTAAAGCAGCTGCTGCTAGCGCTGCAACTTCCGAGGCTGGCACACGCTTTCGATCGCCACCAAGAAGGGCACCGCCTGCGCCACCGCCGCCACCACCGCCGCCTGGAAGGCCTGTGCCGCCCAAGGAGCTTATCATCGCTCTTGACTGGCACGGAGTTCTTGACGTTGGGCAGCAGGGACCCCACCTCAACCCGGAGGTGATCCGACATCTCGTTCAATTTGCAGCCGACTACGCACCTATAAATTTTATAGTGCTATCCTTCGTGGGCAGGGCTGCAAGCGAGTTTCGCCGCCGCGAGTTCCAGGTCGCCCTGGAGCACGCGCGGGCGACATCTGGACTCACTTTCTCTGCGATAAAAATCGTACACGAAAGGTTGGGTAGGGGAGGCAAAGCAGACGCCCTTCAAGGGCTGGGCGTTCACGCCCTTATTGACGATACAGCATCGATTGTCCGCGAAGCTCAAAAGACAGGCATCGCGGCGTTCCGCAACTTCCCGCATTTCGGGCCGAGCGGATTTGCCAACGCACTTGAGAACCTTGGGGAGTTTATCGAGTCCCGGAATCGACATTTCATTCCGGCGGCAAGGGGTCTGCATCCATCGCAGTACCTCGAGGAGCTCCACCGATCTGCATCCCAGTTGCCCGCCCACCGGGTACTTCGATAGCCTTTCTTGCAAACCGTTAAAACCGTCGCTTTGCGCGGTACAGCATCTTTGCAGCTACAGGCATTCGATTTGCAGACAAATTCTCAACACAGCTTGGCAACATCCCTCGATAAAGCACCATAGTGCGGCAGTGCGGATCAATCAATCTACAAGTACAATTACAAATGCAGAATTCATCAGGTGCAAAGAAGCAGGGCGTATTTTCTTGAGTGGCTCACTTGAGCGTTTCGCAACCAGCTGCCAATCCAGGGATATCTCCTTCCTTCACAGGGATCACAATTACCTGACCCGATGACTAACGTACCCGCTGCGGCATTAATTCATCAGGTGCAAAGAAGCAGGGCGTATTTTCTTGAGTGGCTCACTTGAGCGTTTCGCAACCAGCTGCCAATCCAGGGATATCTCCTTCCTTCACAGGGATCACAATTACCTGACCCGATGACTAACGTACCCGCTGCGGCATTTATAGCTGGAGCTGCGGTGCAGCAAGCTCATCGAGCATCCGACCTCGCTGCTCAGGCAGCCAATCACGCCTTGCACCAACAGCAGGCCGCCGACCAGGCGAGACAAGAGGCCGGATGGATCAGGGAAAGGGCTGTAAGAGAAGTATCAGACGTTAGGGTTCAGGCCGCTCAGCTAGCTTCGCAAGCACAGCAGGCTGTACAAACAGCACAACAAAGTGAGGCTCAGGCTAGGCAACTAATCGAGCAGACACGACAGGAAGCCATTGGCCATGTCGAGAACGCACGACAGGTTGTTAATGCCACTCAACAGGACGCTCAGCAAGAGGTTCAACGCATTGTTCAAGAGGCTCAACAGGCAATCTCACAAAGAGAACAAACCATTGCCAGTCAAGAGCATACCATTCGTGGATTGTTCCAGGAAAATTCTGTGATGCGTGTTGTTGCGCACCTCACCCAACAAGCTCGTGCGACCCCTGTTCCGATTCAAGAGTCACCGCCGAAAGCCGCATCAATAGCCGAAACAGCTACGGAAACAAGCGCGGCTAAAGCCTCAAGTCAGGGCACAGTTCCCCCAGGAACCCATCAGCCGGTTGGAGCACCTCAGGTTTCAGATTCACAAGATGCCTCCGGTGTTGCCGCATCGTCGCAAGGTTCTGTTCAAAATTCAGGACTTGGTCACGATGCCCCAGCTGATTCAAGGGACCCTGGTGGGGGTGCAACAAGTCAACCTCTCGCAGGCCATTCGGCAGTGCTAGGAGCAGCGTCCTCTGTTGGAGACGCAGCCCCCGGCGCGTCGAGGACTAGCGGGTTGGGTAGAGACGGTACAAGGGATCAAGCCGATGTGAGAGTGCAAGTGACGGCGTTAGCGGAAATGGTTCAGCAACTTTCCCAATTGGTTGCTAATCAAGTGGCTCCGCCACCTCCGCCTCCAGCCGCACCACCTCCAGCGCCTCCCACGCTCCTCGCAGGGGCGCCGCCTCCGCCAAAAGCTGGCAATGGCACTCGTGTTCCGCCAGTACCAATCACAATGTTGGGAGGGTTATACTCGTCATCCCCACAAGCGCCATCGGCCGCAAGCTCCGACTCATCATCAGACTCCGATGGAGATGATGATACCCCACAATGTCGAGTTTGCGGCGGCAGCCACGAAGACACGGATTGCCCATACCTCACCATGAATGGTGGTGGGGGAGGTGGGGGAGGCTCTGGCCAGTCTCCCAATGCAGACCCGTCTCAAGCTGCCGATCCCAGTGTAGGCACGACCGCCGTAGATCACGCCGCATATGAGGAGTCCGTTGTCCGCGTCAAGGATCTCAAGGATCTCGTGTTACCATCCCCTCCGGAGAACGCTGGTCAGGCTAGAGGTTTCGCCAATCAAGTTTTGATGGCCATCGGTCGACTCCAGAAGACCCCCGGAGATGAAGTTTACCAGTGGGCCCAAGCATGCATGTCCTCCACCGAGCAAGAACTCATCGCGGACAAGCGTTT